GTYTWKWTYMWATMCWACATTTTKAGGAAATTTGARCGAATTTCAGCCCCAGAAAAACGTCTGAAAAACGTAAGCTTGACTTAAGCCAAGTGCAAATTATAAAAAGACGGTTTCAAAGAGAGATGTTTATTGCGAAAACAGAGATTTAAACAGTGGACATGAATGGCGCCATTGTTCCTCATACTCCAATAGCAGTAGATGTTTGGAATAAGAAAGCTGTCAGTAGCTGTCGTCTGTTTTTTCTATCACATGCACACTCAGACCATACTGCAGGACTAACAAGCTCATGGAAACATCATAAGATCTATTGCTCTGAGGTAACTAAAGATATTGTCATTCATAAACTTGGTGTATGTRGTGAGCTATTGGTTGGGAYCCCTGTGGATAATGCTATTTCAATCCYTATGGATGAATATGGTCAGGAGAAGCTGACTGTTACGCTGATTGATGCTAATCACTGCCCTGGTGCTGTAATGTTTCTTTTTGAAGGATATTTTGGAACTGTTCTGTATACTGGAGACTTCAGATATGATAAATGCATGACTGACCATAGTGCATTGAAAAATAAAATCATTGACAGACTSTACCTTGATAATACCTACTGTGATCCTGCATGTTTGTTTCCCAGTAGAGAAGAAGCATTGTCTAAAGTACTTGATATAGTAGAAAACCATCTCAAGAAAGATTTCAAGATTGTTATTGGAATGAGTTCCTTAGGAAAGGAAGATMTTCTTGTTCAAATAGCAACATCTCATCAAACATGGATTGGAGTTGATCCTAAACGYCTGAGTCTCTTAAAACTTCTTAATTTACCTGATGTCTTCACTAGTGATGTTGAGTCCACAAGAGTGCGAGTAGTGATGCAAAGAGAAGTCACTAAACAAATCCTACAGGAGTGGAATGATATTGATCCAACCATTGTAATYATACCAACAGCATTATTTGAAGGGGACATCAATCCATATCAGTACATGTCAAATGTATTTGTTGTACCATTCTCTGATCATTCATCATATGAAGAGTTAGTGACTTTTGTTTCTTCAATTCAACCYAAGGAAATCATTCCAATTGTTCTTAAACACAGATGCACAAGAATGGAACCAAATAACACGAGAACTAACATGGCTATTTTCAATTCATATCTTAATAAAGAGCCATTTAACCCAGTATTAATTCCTGATTCAGTGTTAAAGTACATGAATGCTTCCACAACTAAGGAACTAAGAGTGAAACGAAGATCAAACTCAAGATACAACTGTTATGATTATAAGAGAAGAAAATGTGCTGGTGTTGTTTTCCCAGATGATGAGCCAACAAATATAATCGAAAGTAAATCCAAAGACGAGGCTACTAGGGAATTGCCTTATTGCAACAAAACCTGTTTGCAAAATGACTCCCTCTATGACAAGAGACGAATTGAGTCATCMTATAATGGAGAACAGGTTGCTGAATGCCACAACATAATCACACAAGACCCTGTGCAGAATAATTCTGACACTAATAACCGTAGAATTGAATTATGTTATGTTTTACAGCCAGGTGAATGCCATAGCACATCCACACAAGAYAGTTTCCAATGTGTGCCTGTTAGAAATAAAGTTGAACTAAACAATTCACAGACAACAGCTGAGTTCCACTCAAATAGAAAAAAGAACAGTTTTCCAACTAGTTCCCTTTCGATAGAACACAGCTGTATTGACATTGAAATGAATTCAYATGACAAAAAGTTTCTTGTTAATGAGTCTTCCCCTGATAAAAAGAACATKGTTTTGATAAATGCAAAGAGTGATTGTTTAGAAAACAAAGATGGACAAGATAGTCTGACCATATCAAAATCCAGAAGAGTGGCAAAAGACCTGATCTCAAAGAAACATCTTATTGGTGATGAGATGCAGAGAACTAAATCAGAAGGTTCCAAGAAAAAGAAATGTCTTCTTGATTATTGGAGATATCAAAGATCACCTAACACTAAGACAACAATGACGTCAGRTGTTGATAATAGTACTAATCATTTCAATAATCAAATGAAAGCAATTCTTCCAAAGTCTAGCTCAAATACAGTAAAGACAAAGAATTCTTGCACTGACTTTCCAGTTAGTAGTACTACCACCTTGGCTTGTCCAAACAGTGAAAACGCTCTACAGATATCAACAAGGACAAATAATCAACTCAAGTCCAACCACAAGAAAAGCACTACAAGTATACCTAGTATTAGTGGTCAAGAGAAAAATAATTCAGACAGTCTTCATGGATTTTGTTGGTTCACAAGTGACTTTAATTTTACTGTATAAAAGTAGTATAACAGTAGTGTGACGCTTCATTGCATTGACTGACTATTCATCTGTAGCTGCAACTACTGTAATGTAGTAAATATTTAAATAAAAATAAATGAACTTACTCAACATCAGAAGTTCAGCTATTGAAATTAGATTTTGTGATCATGGCATATGTATTACATAGGCAAAGAGCTGAAAAGTTTGAATGCATATGCCAGAATAAAAGGGCACTGCTTCTTGAAAATGTGCAGGAATCTTTGCTTCCCAATATTCATTTTTATGAGTATATTGTCATTGTTATGATGGACATGGTCATTTCAAAAGTCGTAAAAAAATTAAGATGAAAATGTGGAGAAAATGTGCAATAAGAATTAGGCGAAATTTGCTGGAAGGAGAATAAATCTTGAATTGGGACTGTTTTTCATCCTTAATCTGCTTATTGTCTTACTAATAGACGTTGCCTAGCAACAGAAATCAAACACCACGGCTGGTGGCCATTACGGACAAAGGCCTTTGCACTTCAAAGTAATGGATGCTTTGTAAAGCAAGGRACAGTTCAAAACACATCATGTAGCCGAAAAGAATCGAAATATCTAAACATGACTGGTTGTGGGTTCAAAAGCAGTGATGATACGGCCTTGRAGTGTTTGATATCATTGAGCGAGGAGKTAAACAACGAAGAGAACGAGTTCGATGATCAAATTGTKACTTCGGGTTGGGACGAAGTTTCTTGTGGTTGGAGAAACACAAAACCCAACGCCCGCTATGCTGTGTATCCAGAAAGGCGTAAAAGATCAAAAGAAAAACTTCAAATCAGTCCAGAACCCGACAGCCAACTTGCTAAAGTAAAGAAACTAGCTGGCATGATTGCTCATTCAAATCTAAATCGTGATAACAACTCCACCACCAAGCTCAAAACTGCGAGGAACTCAGCTTTAATAAAATATCAAAACTGTGGTGTATTGTCCTATGATACACCTTGCTGGAGATTTGTGGTTGACCCAAAGTTATTCATGTACATAGAGAGGCCTACATTCCTTGAACTTCGTTCAGCTAGCGAAAGAAAGACAGCAACACATACGATCATCTTAGAAAATGGAGGCATGATAACATGTGAAGAATTCAACGGACGAATGGCTCTGTTTGATCCTGCTTACTATTTCGATAAACACTTGTTGGGCACTTATATCGATAGAGAAGAGTTTCGTTTGAGAGCTTGTCAAAGAAGGCCTATRAATTGCTCATTTGATTATAAAACATCTTTTTCACAAACACTTACAGAGGAAAACAAAATTTGTGTTGTACAAACAGTGACGATAAAACCAACTTTAGAGCCATGTAGTTCAATTTGTGAAATGTGCCGACATAGGACTCAAGAAMTTAATGACAAATGCATAGGAAAAAGCAGCAGCAACAGCGACCTAAAGCCATTAGTAAAARTTACCCCCACACAGAGAAARATTGCTGAGGACAGTCGTCTAGCAGGGAAAGYCTTAGTACACCAAAGCAAAGGAAAAGACACCAGTTTGAAGTCTTTGAAAGTGAATAAGAAATCAAAGGACAGTTTCCATGCAAGGCATGTAGGGATGCGCCTTGACTGGCTGCCAATCACACGTAGCACCATTGCATACCCATGTGACACAACAGGAATTGAAAGAGTCAGCAATGACAAATTTCCTGGTCGTACATCACAAGCCAAGGCATTTGCATTCCCCAGAGGGCATGGAACAAAGGCCAGGAAACTYACCCTCAGTGAAGCTGCAAATCTTGTGCCCAGGACATCAAAACTAGGGCATGCTATCGACAAACTAGCAAAGGATCTAGAAAATAAGCAGGAAAAGCCTATAACTTTGACAGAGCCTGTACTTCCATCTGTATCAGGAACTAAACTAGAGATGCCTCTTTCAAGTGGCTATTGTAACATGTAAAATCATGTGAAACAGCCTTCTTGATAAAACCATCACCATTTCCTTCCTGGTTAATGAACATCGCTTCCAACAATGCACAASTGTGACTGGATTCTTCCTYTAGCAATTGGGTCTGAATATGTTCTAGAAATTGCAGTCCRACATCAGATTAAAATGTAAATAAAAGATGTAAATAGGAATTGAGATAGTATGAGTTAATATTTTAAGATAAGGGAATATTGATATTTAGAAATAATATAATATTTTGACATGTTTTCAAAAGTATTTTTTCATAAGATGTTGAAACTCAAGTTTGATGAGTAAAAGAGTTCTCATTAAAATAAGTGAATCATAATTTCATAAATCTACAGCTTTATTCATGATACTTCATGGGAATAATTTATTATTAGGTAATATATGAAAGAGAATATTTGATAGAAAGCCATAGAGATAAAAAACTGGTAACTCTAACCATAAAGTGTGTGGGTGGTAATAGAAACATACATTAATAAACATTSAAAGCACTGTTATTCACCTCATCTACACAGTTTACAACAGATTTACACTCACATGACACAAACTCCTTATTTGTTTGCCTTTATTTAAGTTCTTGCAAAGAGTTTCATGAATTTAATGGTTGCACTCTATTACTTATTATTTTCATGTGAAAATATTTGGTAATACTTTGAAATAATCTACAGTGTTTGACTGTTATAACAGAGTTGATTTTGAAATAAAGTTTGGTATTTTGAATGATCTGTCTCAACACTTTTACTTGAAACAATAATATTGCTTCAGGCAACACATTCCTAACCTTTGTTGTAAGATTAAGATTTTATGTCTGTGTCTGGACATTCGATAGAGATGTGTCAATCGTGTCACCCAGAAGTGTCTGTGTATAGGTGTCCATCAAAGAAATGTTACTATCAAATGGAAAAAACATTCTGCCAGTCTGGGTCATTTGTGTCTGCCTATTATGTGTTTCATAACCCCAACAATTATCACCAAAGGACTCTGGGATTGTTTGGGTTTCTGTATTGATAAGTCCAACATCAAATGGTATGTCATCTATTACTGTTTGGGTCTGTATGTTTACAAGATCTTCTAGAGTTGTTCTGCTATTGAAGTTGCCATCCATTAGTATTGGGTCTTGTGGCATAAGACTGCTTAGCCAGGTCTGTGTCTGTGATTCTGTCAGTTCAACATCTGWTTGACTCAAGATCTCATCAAACATTTTCTGTGTTTGAGTACCACAGTCTGTTGAACAAGATGGATCCATATCCAAAATTGAAATAAGTGTCTGAGCTGCATTGTCTTCCAATGTAACATGCTCAAAGTCCTGTGTTTGAGTTTCAGAAGAGTTCAGATATGAAGGAGTTGGTATAGTTAATAATGATTGTGAGTTRAAGCAAGTCGAACTGCCTAAACTMTCCATGTAAATCTGTCCATCGTGTTGTGTTCCTACGGACGATGAATGAGGMACTTGCTCACATATTCCTGATAACATAACCTGACTACCAAAATCCATCATACTWGAAACAGGTGGTGTTTTCATTTGTGTCCCTACTGATGACTGGTTAATATTACCAAGTATAGTACTACCAATACAGCTTGTTTGTAAACCAAACAAAGTCTGTGTAGATGCAACCTGAATGTTAGCAACTGTCGGCATGGTATACAAACTAGTCTGTGTTTCTGCATCTTTCTTGGTCACATAAGATAACACTTTCTGCGTGTTTGTAGTGCTATCAACTTTGGAAGGTTTTGGTAGAATTGTACAGTACTTTTTAGCTGTAACTGGTGCCTTGTTTAATGGCTGGTGGAGATAATCTTTGGAAGGTATAATAATAATGGTTGTCTTGGGATGAGCTGAATTATCAGTACATGATGATTTTCTACAAGGAAAATATCAAAAAGATGAAAAATGAATAAAACAAAGTAAAAAGGGAAATAATTCAGTGGATTCAACTTCTTATTGATGAAGTCTTGCATCTACCTTTTCTTATTAGTGYTTTTGTTTTCTTCTGCTAATGGTCTGGTTGGTAATGCATGTTTTTTTCTACGTGCATGCATTGATAATGCTTCTCTAGTTGTAAATGGGCAGCCACAAGTACAATGAAACATCTGACCACATTTTAACTCATGTCGATTACATGCAGCCTCGATTCCAAACCCACGACTGCACTTAGAGCAAGTGTACTTCTTTTCTGCATGTATTGTCATGTAATGCTGCAAAAAATGAAAATAAAAAAACAAAAAAACAAAAAAAAACATGTCAAATCAATAATAATATATATACTATACAAGATAACACATGGTTACTGGCACAGCTTAATGATAGCTATGTCAGTGGGTGATTACAATTATGGAAGTAGGAGATTATTACACGTTATTGGTACATCAGTTAGCTTATAAGCTTATTTTGAGTTTTGTTAAGATTTTAATATAATTTCTAGTTTAATTTTACATCATGAGACACATTTGAAGTAAATACCTGTTTCACTTGCCCAAGCCTAGGAAATGGTTTATTACTAGTTTTACCACGRGGGCAATCAGCCACAGGACAGTAAAATATTTTCTTTGTACATTTTCTTGCAGCACTGCAGCCCGCACCTGATGTCGACGAGTTCCGAGTAAAAACAGTCCTGTCCTCGTCATTTGAGGCAATGTTGTGCGTTTTGATCACGTGCATTCGTAAAGCTGCTGTGTTGAATAATATTTTAGAGCAACCTTGAACATGACACGGTATTCCTGTTACAATATTTGTGAGTTCTTCGACCGAGGGATACACTTCTTCAACACAAACTTCCGCCATTTTGTTTGATGACAAGCTATGCCGAGTGGTACTGGGTACTAGTAGATTTGGATTTAGTCTCCTCTATTACTTCACGGCCAATATGGCGGAYGGAAAGAAGTTTATAACTCCAAAAAGAAGACTTGTATTTGAGAGGCATTCATTTGATGACAACAAGAAAAGACACGAAAAATGCATAAAGGATCATTATTTCAATCACTCCGTAAGTTTGTAATTGCTCTACGTATTGTACTGTMACCTAATTTCAATTMATTTCTAATGTCTCTCCTAACGCGCGGCAAACCCGTCTAGCCAACAATATTTGTAACCCATCTGAGGACATTGTGAAGCTTGCTGTCCTTTTTGGTGGCTTGACACACCGTAAAAATATCTGGATCATGTGCACGMCTTGGGGTGATGGGTGGTTGTATAACTTATGTACAGACCATAATTTATGGTGAGGATCCACTRGACAGCTKGGTACAGTTGAAAACCCTGACAGGGTATCTGATTTCTAGGGTTTTCATGATATTGACTTTTTCTCTAGCTGTCAATCATTGTTTACGTTTCTTTCTACAGGTATCTCTGGTCATTCCTAATTACTCCTCTAAAAAAGCATCAAAACAATTGCAATACAATACCCCATTGTATGATGAGTTTTGTCATGCTCTTCTTCCTGTTCATGTCTTTATTGAAAAAGACTTTATTGATAAGTTCATTAAACAAGGTAAAATGTTTATTATTCGAGATAGTCTGCCAATCTTTAGTCTGTATAATCAATTTTACTTCATTAAAGAAWAGGACAATGAATTTATAATGGTTATCATGCGAGCAAGAATTAATTATATTAATTAAGGTTTGATACCAATATATCAATGAAGAAAAATCTATGGCTATCTGGAGCAACCGCACCAGTTTGTGGTGTCAGTGTAGCCAGAAATTTTGCAATTTGAACCGCAGTTAATAGAGAGAACTAAAAGACTAATGTTTAAATTAAAGTATCTTACCTTGCTTCATAGGACAATTCTATGCAGTAAGTACTAAAACATGCATCGATACAGGAAATTGTGTTGCTGTACTGCCAACAGGTATCATTTTTATCATACTGCTATAATTTTATTCATTGTCAAGCTTTTGTCTCACCAATCATAAGGACTAAACAATGAGTATACCACTTCCCAGAACATTGTACCGCTGCAACATTCAAGGCATCAGCAATATATGCAGCACAGGAAGCAAACTATGTTAACTATATTTCAATTTTAGGTATTTTGATACTTTCTTTGGATAAAGATACCTATGAAGAACTGGGTTTAACGGGAAAACATTCCATATTCCAAAAGAAAATGAGGTTTAGTAAGTTCCATTTCCTTGATTTCACCTCACTGGAATTGCTAGCACTGATGGAAACTGTGTTTATTAGTTGTAGAAATTGATTTGAAGGCTGCTTCATTTCATCCCGGGAAAAGTCATTATGAGAGAGTATCATGGTGCTTAAAAAAAGCCACTGAAATGCGCTTTGARTTCGTATTCACATACTGCAATCAAGGTAAAGCAAGGTGTACTTTAAAATCACTCTTTTCCTTTTTATCCATTTTTCAATTCCCATCCATTCTATTTTCCATTTTCATCAATCATTAGTTCAATGCTTTCATTTCCCTTTCATCACTACTTCTCTTTTTTCTGCTTGAATTGTGTAGTTTAATATTATCATTTTTGTTTTATYATGGGCCCAGTTTTACCTATTCTCATTATTGCACCTGATCCTTAAGTCAATCTAATCCTTTCATTCTTTTATCCTTTTCAGATAATAAGATAAACACAGAAATTCTTCAATCCTATTTTCAGAGTTTTAAGTGCCAATGTATAAGAAATAATGAGGATAACACAGACTTACCAAATTTACCTACACCTTTAATAAACCCAGCTATTACAAGGATATCAGATGACAATGCCATTGATGTTAGTAGTTTTTATGAATGGTTAGGTTGCTTACATTGTGGTGTTGACTGGTAAGATTATTTTTTTTGTATTGACAGAATTTATAGCTCTACTCACCAATAGTAAATATCAATTCATCCCATCAACACAACTGATACACACCCAAATTATTAACACACATGGATTTTCATCTATAATGGTGGAGAGGTTCTCATAAGCAATGGACCCATTCATTAGTGCATGTGCAAGAGTGGCTTGGAAACTGCATCTCAAGACCTCTGTCAAGGGTTTTACCTTCAACTGTTTGCAGAGGGTTTCAAAATCCTCTGGATAAAATTGATTTGTTAATGTCATTCTTCTATTTGTTTTTAGTAATACAGGTGCACCAGACAGTTATACATCAACCTTAACATGTCCAAAACCTAATATCGTGGCTGAGAAAGCTGTTAAGTGTCAATGGACAGGACTTATTACACCACAAAGAATTATAAATCTTCTTGAAGATGCTAGGTACTGTGTTCAAATTGTCCCTTGAATGTGGGAATTCAACCCAATAATGTGTAATTCAATGATATTGCATTAAGTCAATTCTGTTCCAGCAAATTTCTTAGAGAATGTAAAAACATCACTCTTTTGTATATGTCATTCTTCTTTTCTGCAATACCACACCTTAGTGAAAGTGTCAGTTTCACATACTCAGTTTAGTGATTGTTACTCCACAGGACATTGCTACAAACSTCYTCCACCCCACCMCCATGGATTGCCATCAGTGTGTGGGGCTTTTGTGACAGCCCAGTATCATGGTTGWGTAAYGAGCATGGTTTCCAGTACAGTGGAGAGAATATGTATACAATTGTTGTATTTCCTGACAGCCAGTATTGGTTTTTCCGTGCATTAAGTAGTCATGACATTTGCTCATAGGATAGTGTTTTTAAATGAGTGGTTATCATGTGAAACATAGGGATGTGTTGTTCTAAGACCAAAGGAGGTTAGTATTAACCTGGCCTAGGTTAAACCCTTAGGTTAGCACTTACGGATCTTTGAACAACCCAACTCAAAAGTGTTACATGCGAAATCTATTTTCAGAGTACATCAATCCTTTAAATAATAGCCTCACTCACAGACATTCTTGGTATGAATTCAAAGTTTCTTAATTCAAATTTCAACACCAGGAATATCTGCAAATAGGAGGAGTTTTCAATGCACCTGAATCAACAACATCTTTATTCTTACTAATTTTTTAGAAGTAAATAATGATAATTATGTTAGATTGACCTTATCATTTGTATACTCGATTTAAAAAGGTGTGTTTTTAACACAATAATGTTTAATTTCATGTCAACCACTAAACATATACAAATATTGTAAAAACAAAAGCATATTATTTATTTATTTACCATAAAACATTAAAAACTGAAAGGAAAGCCAGCCGTGGTTTTGAATGTCTTTTGAATCAATAAAATATAAACTTTAAAATAATTAAAATAATTGTTCTGAAAAGACTGTCGAACTCAGATTATGGTCATTTTTTATACAAAATGTAGTATTCATTTAATCCAGACTTAAAACTAAACTGACAGTTGTCTTTCCAGCATCTCCCTGCTAAAGAGCACAGAGGAAATTTCTGAAGTGTAGGTTGCTATTGCCTTGGCCTCTTTCTATTTGTCAAAGTGAAGTGGTTTCTAGATAAAGAATGAATATTTGCCAGGTGTGCTGGAAGAGGAAGGTCAGCAATTCCTGCTTCTCCAAGATTTTTAATTCCTTCTATAACACTYGGTCCTTCAAATTTGACTGAACATTTAAAGATGTTTTTCTTGAAATCTAAATTTGTTGTTCCTTTAAAACTTGTCTCCATCTGTAATAAATTAAAATAGTAATTTAAGGGATAATGTTTGAGACTATATCACAATCTCAGTCTACCTGTGTATTACAAGGTTGTGATGTTCCCTACTTTGTTCATGTGAATAATCTGAGACTTACTGTGAATTTTACTTTTTCCAAAACYGGTTCCTTGGGACCAAAAGCATTTTCTATCCACTGTTTATTTTTGTCATTATCTTGCTTGTTCTCTTCTATTGGTCTTGCCTTTGAAAACATCTCTGCTTCACCTTGAAAAGTACAGGATAATTTCCTCACTTTTCATTTTGGTGTAAAGGAATAATAAGTTATTTTATCTTACTTTGGTTAGACTTTTTCTTCTTAGGGAGGGTTCCAAGAAGAAGTGGGTTGTCATCAACTTGATTCAGTCTGTATTCACTGTAAGATCCCTACATCAAATAAAAATAATGAAGTATCTCAGTCTTACAACACATAAGATATCACCATAGTGCAGCATTTTGTGATCAATTCTAACCTGACTTTTATTATTGAGCACCATATCTGATAATGAAAGAACATCTTTTCCTGCTAAGTTGAGCTGTTTGATATTTGTACATCCCAGTGTATCACACAAAGCCTGCATCAATAAAATTACAATTATTTTGTACCAWTTTTTTACTCTAAATGTTTTCCAGATTTCATGTAAAGGCATTCACTTAACTCTCACTTACCTGGAAAATGTATTTCTTGTGAGATAGTTTCATGTTTGTCATCATTAGATAAGGTGATAATGGATAATGAATTATATACACAATTGTTGATGGTGAAATTTTTTTGATGTTATCAGAAATAGATAATCGTGTCCACAAGGCATCCCTCCACAGTTGTACACATGTATCCTAATAAAGGCATTCAAAAGAAATTAAGTAATGATCAAATGACAGCAAGAAATATGAACCCCATATGTTTAATTAAATTAATTAATCAATGCAAGTTAACATTATCGATTGATTCCTAGTTAGTCAATGTACTCATTTGTGAAAATTTCAAAACAATTGCATAACTTACAATGTCAAAGAAGGATTTTAATTTGGTCTGAAGCCTTGATTCGAGGACTTTGGGATTAGAAAGCCTTTGCTTTTGTGCCCYTTCATTATCTATGGAATGTTAAACAATCAAAAACTTGTTTAAAATATTTATTAATTCTATAAATATTACATTACATTTTTAAATATGCAATAAAATACATGCTTACCAAATTCTTCTAAATGATAGACAATCCATTGCTTGCTTGTGGGGTGGTTTTGTTGATCTACAGAAAAACAGTAAAAAGAATTTTAAAGTAAAAGTTTAACTTAAGCTTATGTCTAGATAATTAAGTTAAGAAGTCTTAATATAAAATCAATCAGCTGTTTCGTCAATGCCTGTCACCCATCCATCTATCAGCTGACAGCGATATCAAGATAATTAACAATATAGCAGCAGCTTTATTCCAAGTAAAATATGGGTATTATAGTATAAACAATACTCACAAATCAAGTCCAAGTCAGCGATTTCTCTMCGAGTCAATTTGTCTCCAAGGTGTCTGACAATTCTATTGACAATGGTTGCTTTTGTACCGTTCTTGTTCAGCGAATCCACATTTAAGTATGCTTTCTGTGACAGTGTATCTATGAGTTCGTCTTTGCGGAATTTGTATAAAAGCTTAGATAAATATTCGCGATGCATTTTGTATGTTTCTTGCCTTTCAAAAAATTCTTGACTGTTAGTCGGCCATCTTGAAAACACCGCCAAAACACATAAATTGCGTTGACCAATCATAATCGAGTATGCAAATACCTTCCCAGAATACAGTGCAAAATGCATAAAGAAATGTTTACATTTTATGAATTTTATGGTAATAGTCTCCTTCACGGTTACCTGCGCCATCTTGAAAGGTAGCCGTGTCTTTGCATCGAAGCGAGACAACCGTTGAGCGTGCAATGATATGTCTCGCTTCGACGTAAAGGCACGGCTACCTTTCAAGATGGCGCACCTAACCGTGAAGGGGACTATTTTAAATTTTTGCAGTGAGAAAAATTTTAAATTTTTGCAGTGAGAGTGATCAAAATTCAGTATTTATGGATTGTACTACAGCCTATATTTATCTTTTCAGTGGAGTATTTTGAATATATTTTTCTATCTTACAGATATTTTTTTACTTCAGGCACATGTCTTGGAGGAACATACCGCTGACCTAGGCGGGAAGTCGGAACAAATCAAAATGGCCGATTGTACAGACAATGCAAGACTTGGAATGTTGGGCAAGAATTTGTCCGAACGGGTTGGGAAATGTAAAGTTCTTGTAGTTGGAGCTGGTGGTATTGGGTGTGAACTTCTTAAGAATTTAGTTTTAACGGGTTTTAAGGATATTGAAGTGGTGAGTTCTTCGAAAAACACAACAAACTCATTTTCATTCACACGTATTCAAGGCAACATTTGCTTCTTACTTATATCAAATCCAGCATCTGGAGGAAATAATATTCCTTTTTGATTTGTCATTATACACTGTTGTATGCGAAACGTTCAATAATTTATGCTTGGATTGACAACTAAYAGCGAAGGACGTTTAAAATTTGGTATCTRTGGTCCATGTCTCCTTTCACCCGGCTCTTACGTCACAGTCGTCGMCATGTTGAATCAACTTGTACATTCAATCTTAACCAACTGAGAGATCAAATAAGAAATTTATTTTTTCTTTATATTATTTTTTATTTTTTTGAATTCTCATAATAAAGTCTCCCTGCTTTTATGTAGGGACATGTTATCAGCTAATAAACATGATACAATAAGGCAGAGTCCAGCCCCAGGGGAGGTTAATGGGTTGGTGTACACAGAGAGGGATGAAAAGGAGAGAAAAGGAGTAAGCTATCAGCAGTCAGTTGCTGTGGCATCGCTAGTGAAAATTGTATGTGATGATAATCAAATATAAAAAGGGGATTTTTGTATCTATTATAGATTGACCTTGATACTATTGATGTCAGCAATCTTAACCGTCAGTTTTTATTTCAAAAGAAGCATGTTGGCAAATCAAAAGCTAAGGTAAACMTCTTTCTTATTGTAGAAATATTGTTTTGCTCTGACTTTCCATGCAGAGTGAGAATCAAACTTCAGTAATTGAATAATGGTAACTTTAGTAAGTTGAAGATATCATTTACAGGTTGCTAGAGAAAGTGCTTTAAGRTTCAATCCACATTCCAACATCATTGCTCACCATAATAATGTTACGAGGTTAGCCTTGTTGTCTATATTATACTTACTGTCTACTGTCAAATGATGAATAAGGTATCAATTGGTATTACAACATAAACTTAAATATATATTTATCACTTTTTAACTTGTTTTCAAAACCATTTTAATCATTTTTAGTTCTGAGTATGGTGTTAACTTCTTCAAGCAGTTTGATCTTGTCATGAATGCACTGGATAATAGAGGTAAAAGCTCTTTGAAATATGGTGGRAACCCTTTGTGCACAGGTAGCCCAAAACTGTTTGTTTWATCTACAGCTGCTAGAAATCATGTTAACAGAATGTGTTTAGCTGCTGATATTCCTCTAATTGAGAGTGGTACAGCTGGTTATCTTGGTCAAGCTACTGTCATTAAGAAGGTAAATCAACAAAAATAAAAATATGGCTAAGAAAAAAAGAACAATGCCATTCTGCTTATTTTTCTTGTGTTTGGCAATGGTTTTGATTTGTTCCAATAATGCTTTTTGTTTGATTATAGGGCCTAACAGAATGTTATGAATGTCAACCCAAACCAACCCAGAAGACATATCCAGGATGTACTATACGCAACACACCATCTGAGCCAATTCACTGTATTGTATGGGCCAAGCATCTTTTTAAGTAAGTCAAAGTTGCTGTGTTAATTAAAGGATAATATTCAATCATGAGAAACCTGACAAATTTACCCTTAATCTGATGTTGATTCTAATAGTCAATTGTTTGGAGAGGCTGATGCTGATGAAGAAGTATCACCTGACGCAGAGGATCCTGAAGCAATGGCTGATGCTGGTGAAAAGGCCCTACAGAAAGAAGCTGAAACTGATGCCATTGGTGGAGTAGCAAGGCAGTCAACACGACAGTGGGCTCAGGATATTGGATATGATAGTGTTAGGTTGTTTAATAAGGTTTGTAATGGTCTACCTCACTTCCCTCCTACATCTTTTTTTATCAAATTGAGACAACTGGTGAGCTTTCAATTACATTTTATCTTTATTATTCTTTTCAGTTGTTTTGTGAAGATATAAAGTATTTATTGTCAATGGATAAACTATGGAAAAAGAGAAAACCACCAACCCCGCTTGACTGGAATAGTGTCACACAAGGTGAGATTGAGATTATTAGTCTCAATAGATTGTATATTGATATGATTGATCATTACCTGTCTACATGTAGATAATGGTGTTAATGAAAATGGAAACAGTCAAAGTTTACTTCAAGATCAAAGGGTGTGGAGCGTAAAAGAGTGTGCAACAACAATAGCAAAAAGGTAGGTGCACATCATCTGTTTTCACTGCCAAAAAAGTATTACTTGCATATTCCTGTTAACTCTTAGTGAAGCACTGTCAGTATCATTCATGTATTAYAGAATGATTATTTCTACCATTTTAGCATAGAAACACTAAAGGCAAATCTAGAAAATAAAGGCGAAGAACTTGTATGGGACAAGGTAAAATGGTAGTGAGATATAGATAGTGATCATGACAGTAATAGTGAAGATTGATGATTGTTTTAAATGATAACTGATTTGGTGAAAGCTGTAATGATGATTGTATAGTGTGATTGTCATATTTAGTAATTTTTGAGATATTTATTGTCATATTAAGAAATAGGATGACTAATGTTCAAAAATATCCTTGTATATTTCAGGATGATCCTGCATCAATGGACTTTGTTACTTGTGCAGCTAACATCAGATCTCATATATTTGGAATTAGAATGAAAAGTCGCTTTGATGTCAAAGGTATCAAGAATTATAATGTGTATATTAACAAATCAATTCATAGTAGAATCTATCAGGAAATTATTGTCTAAACAAAGATATATCAGTACCTTCATTTTCTCCTTGATTTATTACTTTATAATTAGTTAACTCAATGTTGTTTATAGCCATGGCAGGTAATATTATTCCAGCTATTGCTACAACCAATGCTGTGATTGCTGCAATTATTGTTATGCAAGGACTGAATGTACTCAATGACAGACTAGACAAATGTAAAACTGTAAGTTATTTCCAATTAACTTCRCATACATTCACCCAACACACTTCAAAAGYATTCTTTTTTATGCATGCATTKTTGCTATAATTTTTCATTTKTCTTGCTAGACATGATATCAATTCTAATTTTATTTGTAACTGTTTCAGATTTATCTAAACAGACAACCAAATCCRCGTAAAAAACTTCTTGTTCCCTGYTCGTTAGAAGCTCCAAACCCTAAATGTTATGTGTGTGCATCAAAACCAGAGGTTTGTRGAAAGTGTTAAATTTGCTWAACAGTTGATATTGCTGTGAATTGACAATTGTTTTATTATTTGTTTATTGAATTCAGGTTACAATTTGTGCCAATACAGAGACACTGACTTTGAAAACCTTGGAAGATAAGGTAACAGATAATTGTACAATGCAGTATTTAATAGTTTTATATTATCTGATAATGATATCTTTTTGATTAATTAGTGTTTGAATCTTTGAATAATCAGTTGCTGTTACTTCTAATATTATAGATTTTGAAAGAGCGTTTTGGTATGGTAGCACCAGATGTTGAGATAGACGATGGCAAAGGTACCTACCTACCTTCAATCTTTATATTAGAATAAAAGTGAGATCTGTATACTTGATATTGTTTGTATCAGCACATGGCACTAACTCCAGGCAGTTTCTAACACATATCTGTATTCTGGMCAYTAAAAAAGGAGCTGAAAAGTAAGGCATGGAGGGGATCCTGAGGGAAAATCTTTTATACTTTAGACTTAGTGAAATTTTCAAGCAATAACTGAGTGTCTATCTATTGTTTGTTGATAGTTATCTTTCTTTCTCTAGGTACAATACTTGTCTCAAGTGAAGAAGGAGAAACAGAAGGTATAACTCAAAACTTTGTCAAACATCACGGTTCTTTTGCACTTATACCTCAAACTTAAAGTTGTCTAAAAAATACTCTCGTTGCAAATCAGTCCGCGTTGCTTGAAAAAGGCATTAGGTGATTCCCAACTACATATCCTTGTCTGCTGATGTATTGTATGATGGGAACTGTTACAGATCTTGAACTTTTTAACGAAAAACCGCTTTTAACGTAACTATTTGGATAAAGTTTTTGATGTTTCAGCATTGAATGATTATCTTTTCACTGGATTGTTAAATATAAAGCAAAAACCTCGATAGCTGAAGCATGTTTCTAGYTAAACTTCATGTTTCTGTTTCAGAAATATCGTGCAAGTTTCTMAGYGACTTTCAAATCACTTCTGGATCTCGACTAAAAGCAGATGACTTCTTGCAAAACTATGAATTGATTATCAACATAAAGCACACGTAAGTTTCTTTAACAGCACAAGTCTTTCTTGACAGATGCACCATTAATTMTTTTCTCTCTGCCAGRACCGAACTCGATACTGATGTAGAGTTTGAAATAGAAGGTGATGAACCAGTCGCGCCACCAGAAGGCAAACCTGAAGAGAGATCGTCACACGACGTACCACCTAACGACAATACAGGTAACCATGGTGTCCGGAACTATACGTAAAGATGTAGTTCGCCATTTAATTATTGCTGATTACGCCATGGAAAGACGGCCATGTTATCTAAAAAGATTGAGTACAACCAATAAAAACTTGCCTTTCTCCTCTATTTTTCCTTTTAGGTTGTAGCCATTAATACACCTTTAGTATTATCCAAATAATGAAGGATTTTACAGTAATCTTTGTATTAGAACTTCACTTTTGTTTACGAACTATTTTTGTGTTTTCCAGACCATCAATCTCTGTAAGAACTGAAAGTCCTTAACAAAACTCAATTCAATGAAAACATGGTATTTTGATAAACACTAATGCATGACATATTTATTCGTTATACCAGAAGAAAACGACGAAGTTATGTTAGTAGAAGAGACAACTTCTCGAAAGAGAAAACCCGAGGAAATGGACGACGTTCAAGAAGAGGAAGTTAGAGTAAAGAGTAAACGAGCCCGCACTGACTCGGATGTTAATGACGATATCATTGTACTTTAACCACTAAACTTTTACTAAATTAATGTTCATGTTCTCACTGAAGGATGTAAATCCTCGATTTTGTAGTTTTAATTATTATAGATGAATACCAGATGATTATTAAAAGTAGATTTTTAAGCTGGCCGTCTTGTCCTTTCACATGAACTAGAATGCATCTGCTTTGCCCTTTCTATCTGCTATGTATTTCCAAATACCTTGGAATCATTTTGCATTCATTAGAATGGTTTTAACGACACTGTGGAATAGAAACCTTCACGTGCTAGTAGACTTCTTAAGCTCATAGAAATTGGTCCGCCGATGTAGTACTCTACTCTTTTTAAATTGAGCCACCTTCTAAAATGGCCAGGAATTGATATGCGCTTTTTGTCATCAGTCTGTTTTGCGTTGCCGTAAGTACTGTCGGTACAGTCCCGAACTCAAAAGAATGCATGTTTTCCTGTCAAGAAATTTGCACAACCTGTGTAAACTATGCTGGCATGTTGAATGCAAGTTTATTTATCAGGAATTCTAAGATGTATTTAAAGCAATATTTCTAATAGAATTGTAGAATATTTGCATGAATTGATTACTGGATTTTTTGCTAACACACAGGACGCTGTCAGGCCCGTTTGTCAATCGGTCTGCATCAAGCTTCAAGGGCGGTACCATTCTCTTTGCGTTGCCGTTGGTATTGTTTTGCAAGGTTGCATCAACAATGCAAGCGCAATTGCAGCGCCGCTCCATCTATTGTTGTTTATTTGTACACAAGATGCCGTTAATCGCGTTACCCATCAATTTTCTTTGTACTGCAGCATTGAAGTGCCGCCCTTTTGGTCCCGCCAGCGCTAGTTTTCGGCATTGCGGTGTTCTTTGCGATCCTGATTGCATTGCCGACCTAAATTTAATTTTATTGATGATAATGCAGCTGGATTATAGGAGCTTTAAATCATTTATATCTGAAATCTTATTCATACAGATCACACTATATCGCTATGCTACAACATTTCCTTTGGACGGCAGCTAGCTACCGCTGCGTAGTTTTTCTTACTCTGATTGATGCATTGGAACCTACAATTGTAGCTAGCCACTCTTATTAGTAAAATTACTCTGATGAAACCTTATAACTAGATCACTGATTCCTGAAAAGTAACAATCTAGTGAAAAAGACACTGAAATTTGATCTTAAAAACTGCTAATTTGAAATTCACAGATGACTCAAACATTACGGAAATGGATGCTAGCGCGGAAGAACACACCCACATATATGACCAGGCAAGCTTATGACTGTGGTAATAATCTGGAAATTTGATCCTGGAAAAAAATTTACCACTGAAGCGTTTTTAGGGCTCTTCGTCATAYGCCGGCATTTTTCATCAGAACAAAGCTTGCCTTGGAATTTTACCCTATGCCGACTTCAGATAATTAAATGGAATAAAAACAAAAGAGTGCAAAAAAGACCGCCGCCATCTTGGAAAGCCGAAACTCGCGCGCGTCTTGGGAAATAGAACAATTAYTTTGATTGGTCGGCGTTTTCTTTCGCGCTCTATCATTGGCTGATGCATTCAGCGGTGAAACGCCTTTGCAACTTGAATAAATTTGCCGCGTAAATATATAAAGGCGACCATGACTATACAGCATTCAAACTGATCTTAGATCTCGTGCTAGCAATTACGATTACACGWCAAAAGCAAAATTCCTTCGTGAAGCTATTATTTATTGAATATTCATTGAGAAAAATGGCGTCTAACAGATGTGTTACTCAGATGTTCCTTCGTTCACAGATCCAAGGCTCGAAGCTCACTTCTTCTATGGTATTTATCATCAAATATTTTATGGTTTTTCAAAGATATAGATGACTTTACACACACAAAATCGTTTTCCTGTGTTGTATAAGTATTAACATGAAGTATTTTTGATTATTTCTAGCTGCCCAAGTCGTTCGTAGAAGATGTGGATYGTCGTTTCGAATGTGATGGTGTCACACTGCTTCTGCGAAGACTGCAAGAAATTCTCGATCACGTCGAAGAGAAATTCAACGTTGATTCTTGCTCTAAATACTTTGATGTAAGTCAGCTACGTTGTATACTTTTTACAATTTATATTAATATTTTGATTGGTATGTCTTTCCTGACATCACGTGCAATTGTAAAAGAAAACAGAGCTGATAAGAATCTGAGATTGCAGTGAAGCTAAGTATATATGTAAACTCAAGCTATGTTATTTTTGTAGGAGCTCTTCACTACCCTTGAGTCGGAAAGCCAAATGGTAGCTGAATTAGCTGGTGATCTTCCTTCTAAATCCGGTCTATCGTCTCAAAAGAAACTCACTGTTGGCAAAGTGATCGATTTATTCGGTGGAGTGGAGGTATGCTAAGTTACTMGTGTGTTTATAATTTGAAGTGCGTCCGAAGTCGGTCGTAAGGCCTRTCTATCTAGTAAACTACGCGTTAATATGGCACTTATTAATAGAAACAACATGAAATTGACAAGTTAAATTGACATGCAACAGGCAATGCAGCTAATGGTTTTGATATTTAAGCTTAATATATCATATTTCATCATTTACTGTAAAGATTCAACTTCCTTCCYTTATAAACTTCTAATTTGAAGAYAAAGTTTAAATAGTTTTCCCCCATTTGAATGTTATTTTCTGTTTATTTCACTTTCCCTTCCAACCACTTGTTCTTCAATTACAATGTTTGCTTTTTTTTCCTCATCAGATGATTGTACGTTATTTATTTGTCCCTTCAAATGTCACTGTTCGAGCAAGAACAAGAGTTGGTAGAAGTGAGTAAATAACATACATCTATGAAGTGTGCTTACTTGTATAGTTCATGCATTCTTAAGGTCTTTCTATTTCAAAATGAATGGATATTTTGGTGTAATCGCATGTTATTTTACATTGCACTCATAGA